TGTCATAATTTTCTCTTAACGTTTTTTTTTCAGTTCTGGGAGGTTATCTCTGATGAGCATGGAATTGATCCAACCGGGACATATCACGGCGATTCCGACCTGCAGTTGGAACGCATAAACGTCTACTTCAACGAGGCCACCGGAGGAAAGTATGTGCCTAGGGCTGTCCTCGTGGATCTGGAGCCTGGGACAATGGACAGTGTCCGTGCTGGACCTTTTGGACAGATATTCCGCCCGGACAACTTTGTCTTCGGTCAAAGTGGTGCAGGGAACAACTGGGCGAAGGGCCACTACACCGAAGGTGCCGAGTTGGTTGACTCTGTTCTCGATGTGGTGCGAAAGGAGGCCGAATCCTGTGATTGCCTGCAAGGTTTCCAGTTAACGCATTCCCTCGGAGGAGGGACTGGTTCGGGCATGGGAACGCTCCTGATCTCAAAGATTCGGGAGGAATATCCCGACCGTATCATGAACACTTACTCCGTTGTCCCGTCTCCCAAGGTAATGCCTTCTAAGTTTTTTTGACATTAAATTAATTAGGTATCCGATACCGTTGTCGAACCATACAATGCCACTCTCTCGGTGCATCAACTGGTCGAGAACACGGACGAAACCTACTGCATCGACAACGAAGCCCTCTATGACATTTGCTTCCGCACACTTAAACTCACCAACCCAACTTATGGTGACCTCAACCATCTTGTGAGTGCAACTATGTCCGGAGTCACGACATGTCTTCGTTTCCCTGGCCAGCTGAACGCCGACCTGCGAAAACTAGCGGTGAACATGGTTCCTTTCCCGCGTCTTCACTTTTTCATGCCTGGCTTTGCACCACTTACGAGCCGTGGCAGCCAACAGTACCGTGCATTGACTGTTCCTGAGCTGACCCAGCAGATGTTTGACGCTAAAAACATGATGGCTGCTTGCGATCCCCGCCACGGTCGCTACCTCACCGTCGCCGCCATCTTCCGTGGTCGCATGTCAATGAAAGAGGTTGACGAACAGATGTTGAATGTTCAAAACAAGAATTCAAGCTACTT